CGCGTGGTCCGTCCTCACTCTCACTCAAATGGTACCAATGCCCTGCGAGACAAGAGACAGCGCGGACTTGAAAAGCGCTAAGGGTACTATGCAAAATCATATATTTGTAGTAAAATGTCAAACCAATTTTAATATTTCCCAATTACAAGAACTAATGTTCTCCCGTTCCCCACACACTCCACTCACTCTCTCTAGAGTGAAGTAGGCCGGACATTTACCAGAAGTACCTCCAGTCGCACTCTTATACTGAGCGTGTCCATACACCACCTTCCCTCGTGTGGGCGTTACCGTTTGTCGTCACTTAAGACCTATGAGAAAAGTTGGCTTCCGTTTCAGGTGTACGGTGGGAACCGGCTCTGCCTAAGAGTCGCAGGGCAGCGTACGGTCCAATTCGGTCGAGGAGGAGACGAAAAGGTATTCTGGGGCGCACACATACCCGTTGCTCCCAGCGACGTGGGTCAGGGTCGTACACAGTTGCAGTCACTTTATTCAGTATACTATCATGGTCCCTCCGTCTACGCTTGGCTAACATAAAAAATGTAGAGTCGACCATAAACAACACAGGTTTGAGACTCAACCCCTTGTACAGACATTACGGTAAAACTGAGCGGAAGAGGTCTAGGACAACCAGTGCCTTACGGAACTAAAACAGCGATGAGGCCTATCTTCGTATAGACGGACCTGCCTGTTGACTCTAGCAAGTATCAACTTGTGGTTAGACGCCCATCCGCTCGACACGCAGGTAGAGCCAGGCTTCTTTTTCCCGACGTCACCAACCGAACAGTAAGACCTACTTGATGTGTCGAGACTCACGTCAAACATGTGGCTGACATGGGAAAGTCCCTCTCGGTTGCGTGGAAGACTTACCTTCGTCCACAGCACAGTACCCGTAGAGGAAACGTTTCGACCGGCTCTATTGCCCTGACGTCACCGACTGTGAACTACACCACCTTCTATCGGTGGCACGACTCTTCCTCGACAGGAGAGGGAGAGCCGCAGAAGTGAGACTGACTGAGATTACTTTGAGCAACATGCATGGGAATAAGTTACAATATAATACATTTGTGTATATTTCTCGCTATTCAGATGGTCTGCTGCTTGGTGCTGCTGTTGCGCAATGTGCAGTAGTGTCCTCTTTTCGCACCATGACATTTTCAGTTATGAATTTGTTTTTCACTGCTTGAGAAAATGGACTTGTGGCTGAGAGCGTGTGAAAAATGTCAATTGTGTGAGAGTTGGCAGCCCTGTGAACTCGCTTGACATTATTATGTATGAAACTGCCAATCAGATTTATTTACTTATTAATCAAAGGTGCCGGAACGCTGTTCTGGATCGTTCCGGCCCACTTTAACCCCTGTGTGTGCGTGTGCGTGTGCGTGTGCGTGTGCGTGTGTGTGTTCTGAAATGCACTTCAAATTATCACTTTTCTCTTGATTTCCCTTTGATATTTTGTTTAGGTACAGTGTTACTTGCAGCTAATTCATTGATTGTTTTATGGGTATTCTGAGTTGAGATGGTGCAAATATTTTTAATACATATCTAATATATTTCTAATACATTGCTCTTGTGTTGTTCTTTCACATAACTAAGACTATAGAAGTGTAAAAAATAGGCTACGTCAGATTATTCCAAGGGACATACATGTCAAGTCAAGTCAATTTTTATTTATATAGCCCAAAATCACAAATCAGAATGAGGGGGTCCTTGGTGTATTCTCTATCTTGTAAGGGGTCCTTGGCTGAAAAACAATTGAGAACCTCTGTTGTAGGCTACTCACTTCGTTTCTTGTAGCTCTCGAAAGGGTTTTGGAGGTTGAAGCCTCGGGGAACATGAGTTGAATGGCTTTCTTGTCCGCAGCAGCAGAAAGCATTTTCGAATGTTTGAATGAATCAAAGTGGGTCGTCCACCGTCGATTTTCTCTTATGATCCAACACACAGTTGCACGGGGTGCAGAATAGTTTCCCCCCACTTTTTGCCCGGTCTTTAGTAGAAATGTTCGTCGGTAAATGAGATGGATTAGATTTTTTCATTTTGGTGTTTTCTCTATCGTGTGAGCTCCACACGTTCACTATATACAGTGTTGTTTACATTCTGTGATGCGCGAGCTGATAACGTCACGTAAAGACGAGTTAACTTTTTTTTTCTCAACTTTTTTTTCTCAACTTGTGAACTTCTCAATGCGGGGATTATGCGGCCTTTTGATAAATATGCGGCCTTTTAAAAATCTGCGCCATATTGCTGATTATGCGGTAAATTCTGCGATCGCAGAATCGCGTTTTTCTGGAGGGTCTAACTAGGAGACTACCTCGCCTGAAGGAGAGAGGTTAGCAGTTTAGGAGACGGGCCTGCAGTTAGCGGCTATTGCAACACGAATTACGTCAGCGCAAAGCCCAGCATCTGGGTGTCAAAGCGAGCCAGTATATAAATTGGCACATATATAAAATACATACTGTAAGGGCAATAGACACATTAAAAGCTTACAAACCATAATACACATACATATTTGCTGACTTTAAGTGCAACAGGTATGATTCTGCATCTAGGAATCAGGTATTAAATGAACACTTTGAGATTCAGAAAGAACTCAATTGGAAAAAGAAGTGAAACATGAGGCCAAAACCAAAATGTCTTCATACAACAAACTATTTTTGATTAGCCTTTATTTGAAATATTCTACACAAATTAATCAGTTAATTGTCTGATTACTTTTTTAGGTTTTCAGCTTGACTTATTGACAGATATCAAAGGCTATTATGTATCCAATGGAGCAGAGTTGAAAATGTAAGTCAGTTGATTAGTAAGTCAATTGAAAAAAAAAAATGTAATCTACAAAAACATTTAGAACAATTGTGAAAGTGATTAATTGTTCCACCCATTTTCAAGCAAAAAACATTTGCTGTTTGGATACTTGGACATCACTGTGAGCTGTTGGAAACTGTTGTAGGCATTCTTTTATGTATCAACAGAATTTAAGCCAAAACAAATGATACTCAAATTCAGATGAATAGTATTGAGGATACAAATATTAGAAGTTGCAGCCCTACACTGCAAATATAAACTGCTGAAAAAAGTTTACTTTGTGAACTCACCTTGACCACGTTGGCTTTGTGCCGCTCCAGCACCTGTATGGTCTGAGACGTCTTTGGATCAATGATAAGAATACTGGAGTGACATCCCTGAGCTATCAGCCCCTGCCAACCCCTACAGAAAAGGAGAGCCGAAGAGAATAATAGAGTGAATTATGAGGTAAGTGAAAAGGAGCTGACATTTCTTCCCGACACAGACTAAACACAGAGGGTCTGTGAGTGCGCGGGCATTGAACCAAGACCACAAGACCCCAAGAAGAACATTTAAACTTTCATTTTTTTACGAGTGTTGGGAAAATACTGAATGTACTCTTTCAAGGACAGAGTTGCATATGATAACAATGACCCAAGTTTATGACAGTGTATATGACAAGATGTATGAGTACCTAGTAAAAGAAGCATGCCACCCTGTTTTAAAGCGTATGATAAGCTATGTGGCAACGATTAACATGATGATTCAGTCTCTAGGAAGACATGACAAAGATGATCATTTCTGACGTGGTCCTCAGCTAATCTGAACAAAGCATTGAATACAGCTTTGAACCGTTGTTCCTCCAAATACAAGTATCCTGTTTTGAAACTCAAGCCGGTGACTAGTGACATTTTTCTAACAATGAGCAAAAAATCTATGACCATCCATCCACTCCATGTCTAGATCTTTTACATCTTTCAGTATGCATGCGTGATGGGACTACAGAAACAGTGTATATGCATGAATCCTGAAGTCAAATGTAATACCTTTTAAGACCTTTTTTAAGACCCTTTCCATACATTTTAAGACCTCATCGCCACTTTGAGTTCTAACCGGTTACATTGGCGACACACTTTATCTCACATTGACTATATACAGTATTGATTGTCCTTCCTCCTTATCTTCCAACCATTTGGACGCAGACTTGCATTTCCCCATAACGATGTTGTTTAACAAACGGCGTAAAACGGGCCTTCGCGATATCAAGCAGTGAGCGTGCGATGTCCTGTTCAGATGACGTCAAAGCCAACGGGATGCCATAAATAAACTACACAGAATCACACTACACACCTACGCAATGATTACATTCAGGCAGACTGTAGAATACAACCTCTTTGGACAATTTATAGACTTATTGAAAACAAGCTACAAAATGTAATACCTTGGAAAATGCTGTTTAATACTTTTTAATAGCCTTAATTTTCGCTAAATTGATTTATCAACTTTTAATACTTTTTAAGACCCCGCGGACACCCTGAGAAAGGTCACAAATAAATTCCACATACAAAATGTAAACTCCAATATTAAATATGTGATTTTGTATGGATTTTCAAAGTACAACAAACTGTCTGATACAACTCAGAGCAAAGGAAGTGTGCACATTAGATGCAAGTGAAGACAATTAACAACTTAAATCATTAATAATCTTCCATATCATTGCCATGTTTTCTACATGTATGAGGAAATGATATCCACTGAAAGCGTTTTATTAAAGATGAATGGTAAGTCTCACTTGTTATCGCATAGATTAATACATTAATCATTGCCAGCTTATGGGGAATACAACTTGGTGACAATTGGATTCCTACACCTTTTAAAAACCCTTTTTAAAGAATTTTCTTGGTGCATTTTTAATCTTTTTCCATGACTTTGCACAATTTTTTATTTGAATTTTTGTATGTTATGATATATGTTGCATCGTTGGAGGAGCTCGGGTCATAAGATTTCCATTGCCATTTCTACACTGTAGCATATGTGCATATGACATTAAAACCTTTGAATCTACAACAATCCAAATATAGTGTATTCGATATTTGACACTGACATAGTTCATTGTATTATATATTTAGCATTGATATCATAGAGGTGTTGTTAATAGTATGCCACCTAATATAAATACATAGAGAGGATAAAGCATAAGAAACACATGACATTTCAGTAAAGAGCATTCCAATACAACACATCTGCAACCTCATTAAATAACATATAATAAGGTTTAATATGCATAGTGTTTTTATCACAGTCCCGGAAATGCAATAACGCATAGGAAGTCACAGTGAAGTCGGGCTTCCAGCTGGAATACTATGGGAAGGTAAGGGTTAGAAAATGCATCAGGCCCAGCAAACTGTCACATCCCTTCACATCACATCACATGACACAGGATGCCCTAAGTGTTATGTTCTGTTGGGAAAAATCGGCATAATAATTCTTGCAGGTAGCAATAAAAGGGAACAATGTAACGTGATGCATATATAATATAATTAGCATATATCAAACATGAAATGACATACGCACGCATTGACTAAATGAAGAAGCTACATAAAGATGCTAACGGCAGATGTTAAGTACTCACCAGTCTACAGCGGTTTTATTCTGCAAATGGAGAGTGCCAGTCAGAGTCCGAGCCGCGAGTTTGATGTTGACAGTGTACGGAATCATTGTTGCTACGCAGTATTTTTGCTACATTAATATTTGTTGACCAAAAGCTGCTAAAGTTGTTTAGCTTCAGCGCTTCGGCTCTGTTGTTGAGATTTCTAACAGGAAGTAAAACGGTGTTTTTGAATGGAACGTCGTCTAGGAACAAATCCCAGCGATGAAAGGTTCCAAAGCTGAGGCTTCACATTTGATCATGATCACAAAATGTCAAATGTGTTTATAGAGAGTACACGTAAACAATGCTATGATAGTATGTTATATTCTTTCACTTTTTTATATATTTCCAATATTGCCACAACAATGTAATTTTGTCACTGTTAGCATTTAACCAATGTTTAGTTGTAGAAAATAATTCAATAATTTAGTTTGAATGTAATGTTAGTTAGGCTATTACATATAAAATATTATAACAATATTAATAGTACATGGGCAATATTACATTACATTTAATATTACAACCCAAAATGTCCTTATTTAAAAAAAAAGTAAATGCCATTTTATTCTAAAATTGTTTTCATAAAACCCAATTTGTTTCTATACGCAGAAGTGACATTCACTTATATATTGTTATTCATCCCATCATTTGAAAATGGTATAATAGCCTCGAAATGTTTTAAAACATCTAATGATAACCTTTTCCTCCATAAACATCATTATACGCGCCCCCTGCGTGAACGCCATCAGACTCCGATGATCTCGTGCCCCCTGAGTGAATCAGAGTGTGAAGAGCAAATCATTTACACACATTGGAAGTTGATGACAATATATTGTTGTCTGATGGGCTTGGAAACACACCCCTGAGAGAACAGTGCAGCAGTTTAGACCACATAAACTACCCTGAATAACTTTTGGCAGATCAAACAAAAATCTTTCTGCCTTTTATTTATAGGCTCTTCCTCACTAAAGTGACACAAGTTAGCACACTGCTAGATGTAGTGGAGTGAATCATGGGAAAAAACATGACTTTATGACTTTGGGGAAGAACACCCTGTCCAAGATGATTTCAAAGATTCAATTCTTTCATCTCCTTCACAGCTCTGCTGCCTGCAGTCAGTTTCCTTTTTGATCTGTCATGCCCAAGTGTGACTATATACAGCACAAAAAGCAACATTTTACTCAAAACCCTAAAGAACACAATTAGCTTTAGTTCCTGGCAAGAATTAGCCTTTAAATATGACATTATCTGGTGTGTTAAGACAAAACCTGTGGTGCAAAACTGGAAACAAATGCATAGAAACAGTTAAAAGGGAAGAAAAACATAATATATCAGAACATGAAAAAAAAAGTTTTTCCCCATCAATTGGTATATAACAGCATTTGCTTTCTCCTGCACTGAGTGTGACTTAATTAAAAAAGGTTCCACCATACTAACTTGCGAGGTTGCAAGTGCAGCACTGTTATTGGTGATATTCAGAATGGGAAATAATAAGATAAATTATTATATGGTAATTTCTTCAGGGAGAAAAAACATGTACACATTGCATTGTCAGACATTGCATTTACACAATGTTTTTTTTTTAACAAAAAAAGCTTATACGTGAATGATGATTTATCAAACTTTTCAAATTGGCTCTTGTTCTATATTGTGAACTATTATAATCCAATGAAAGGAGAAAGGAATTCCAATATTGTGGCAGAGAGATTAAATTATGAAAACATGTTTCATGTCTGATTATTGGATTCATTTTAATTTGGTTAACTCAAGTTTGCATCCCACATCTGTCAAGATCATCTTGTGGTCATGGTGTTCTGCAGAATGTACACACACAGAATCTCTGATATTCATCACAATTATTGCTGTCTTTAGAAACAGCGCTGTGCTGAAATTGAATTATGAGACTATTTCTCACTCTTCCTAGAGGCACACATCTTTAAACTTTAATCAGATGTATGGCTGTTGTTTCGTAAATGGAGATAAGATGTGAATATCATTTTTGACAGGTATGACTAAAATACATTGTTTAATATGTGATATAATGTGAGCAGCTTCAACAGCTGCATGATAAATGTCTATCTACAATTCTAATGCATTTTCTATTTTGTTTATAAAAAATAAGTAAGGGTTATTCCATCAAAAGTTAGACATTTTGTCCAAGATATTTAATTAGATTTATGTTCGAGAATAACAGTCTTCAAGAAGTTTGGAAACCTAAGAGAACAGTGTCAGCCATTTTTCATTTAAATCAGTTTACCCTAGTTGAACTGGTAAAGATAGTGTGAAGGTTCAACATAAAAAAAAACCTAACCCTTAAGAGACATTTGGTGAATCCCCTAACCCAAACTTATTAAAATGTGCAGAATTGCCTTGACATGTAGGGGAGAGTGGGATAAGTCGAGCCATTTTTTAGTTATGCTGTACTCTAAGCAAGGAGAAATGACACATAGTAAAAATGAAAACACACACCTATAATTCAGGAAGTCTCCTATCAATGGCAATGATAATAATTAATATTTGATCAAGGGCAGTGAAAATATTACTTCTTATTACGTCTTGTGGCTCAACTTGCCCCAGTGTAGGGGTAAGTTGATCCAGGTCAGGGGGTAAATTGAACCACTGTTCAAACCTGGGCATACCTGTTCAAACCTGAGGATACCTACAACACATCTTAAAGGTAACTATAAAAAATAAATAACAAACCAAATACAAGTTTAGTTTTTCAAATATTTTTAATATAAATTTCGATTGAATTGCTTGATTTTTTTTAACATGTTAAAAGGAAAAGTAATCATACAAATGGTGATACAATTTCATACATCTTACCAATTAAACACAGGGTAAATACAACTTTAAATGTAGCCTACAATGAGCTCTTATTATCAACTTGGCCTACTTTCATTCATTTCTCCATGGAAAAACTGGCTCAACTTACCCCAAGGCCCATGGTTCACTTTACCCCATAGCCACCATTTTAGAAAAAATAGCCTAGCATTACAATTCAGATTCATCTTTAGCTTAATGATTCACATGGTTTAATACGCTGCCAACACATCAACATATACAATATATATGTTTAAACCTGGATACTTTTTTTTTTAAATGACAGCCGATATAGCTGACATCTAGAACATTTACTTTGACGAGCAAAAAACGTTTTTTTGTAAAAATGTTTACTTACCAGACCACAATGAATATCTCTCTTTCACAGGCAATGAGAAATGGGTGGAGCTTGCATAATGTCTTTCACTTGATTACAACTATAAGGCGTTGCCTGGTTACAGGGGGTGGTTCAACTTACCCACTGGCTCAACTTACCCCCTTCTCCCCTACATGTATGCTGTCAAACAACACAACAAACCATCAGTTTAAAGTGTATACAGTATGAAATGCACTTATTTCGATATGAATGTAGATCAAAGCAATAATCAAATTACGATTACGATGATTCTGAGCCTGATTTCCACTTGATAATCATAACTTACAGTAATTTCCCTCATACAAGAAGGACACTGCCGTGATAGTCTGTTGATGGAATGACATTAATTGTCAGTTACTCCCAATACCATTGAAAATAAAAAATACAACTTTTCTAACACTTATATGTTTAAGCTCTAGTTAGTTTTTAGGCACAACTTGTCTTGGCCAGGGTTTGAGAAAAGTGGTGGTTAAAGAATATTTAGATATTTTGGAAAATGTGCTCTCTATCCTAAAGGTAAATGAAAAAACTGAAACAGCTAAAGTGCATGACGCCATGGCAAGCAGCCGATTAGCTTAGCTTTGCATTACAACGGAGGAAACTATGCTACAGTGAAAAATATAAAAAGGGACAAAGGCACTGCCAACAGACCTCTAAACCTGAGAAAAAATACATATGTACTAACTAAGCCTGCAAGGTTTCTCCACCAGCCTCTCCTTTACCTTTGCTCTCCCCTTTTCTTGTGATTGAAAAGAAAGCAGTTAGTCCGGTTACCCTCAGGTCAGTCATTATTTGACACAGTGAAAGGTAATAAATCAGTCCTTTTTCTCTTTCCCTCTTGTTTTACTTCCTAAAGCCTTTAAGTGTCTGTGGCTGTGCGGCCAAGGGAACGGGCGGTGATGTGTAATGAAGGTTCTCTAATGAAAATGGAGAGCAAGGATAATCACACTTTGGGTCAGGTATAAAACCCAATTAAAGTCTGAGTGCCCTGAGTGCACTCCACTGCTGGCCATCAGTCGTGTGAAACATTATTTTTGCTACTCATCTGTATATCTTTGTATTTATACATAGTATTGATCTGTTTGTGAGCATACTGAAATATATTTATTTACCTGTGATGAATGTAAAATATCAAGCATTATTCTGGCCAGTTTGACCATACTCTTAAGTTCCAGTTAAGAATCATTTTTCATGGGAGAATAAATTAATAAAACATATTGTTGTCATGCAATTAAATACTTACAGCTGCTACATGCTTGTTAGATAACATAAGCAAACTTTAAATAGATATTGCTCATATAACTGAGTCAGTTTGAGTTGATTTTTTTTTAATTTAAAAAATGGTATTTGTTTTAATTTTAAAATGTAAAGTTGTACTCTGAAGTTATTAGGTTGTAGCACTAATTGTATTGTTGCTGTTTATAGGAAAACATATAGGGATCCATTAAGGGCTGAGATATTTCCATATGGTGCTCTCTTACAATTTAAAAATACATTAATCCATAAGCGTTACTTCTATCATGTTACTTGTACATTTTGCTGAGTCTTTCTGGATACCTTTCTTGACCTTTACTGACAAAATATTACAACATTTCCGAACAAAATTAGAATGCTGAGACAGAGGCTGGTAATGTGGCTCCCCTTGTCATCACCTGTTCTCTAAACACACACAGAACACAGTCAACACACAACAGGACAAAAAAAACCTCTTGATCTTCCCAGCAACAGAACTCCCTGTGCAAACACCATGGGCATTGGGAAGATGAAACAGAAGCAACAGGGCAACATAGTATTCTCATTGATTTCTATCAAACTCTAGCAGTCCATATGGGAGTTTCAAGTGAATCTCCAAATGTCATATCTCAGTTGACTTGAAAAGTTTGAGGGAACAAAAAAAAAGGCCAAATATTTTTATTGCAAAGTCTTCATCACCAGATTAAACCTTCTGTTGCTCGTGAAGTATGTCAGA